GAATGTGATAGACATCATTATCCAAAGTACATGTATGAAGACACAAATTGGTGTCAACATACTTTATATACAACCAGAGATATGAAAAATTGTGCTATATACATGTAGTAAGAATTGTAATGCATTCAACTGTCATTTATTTTTTAAAAAACAATTTTTTAAAAAAGAACACAGAGCTGGACTCGTATCCTTTACCCACTGAGCTTCTAGACACCTTAGTTTCCTTTTTTTTTTTTTTTTTGGACCAGGGATTGAACCCAGGAGTGCTCAATGTGAGCTACATAGGCAACTTAGCAAGACATGGTCTCCTTAAATTGCATAGGACCTTGGGTTAGTTGCTGAGGCTGGCCTTGAACTTCCCATCCTCCTGCCTCAGCCTTGAAAGCCACAGGGTTTGTAGGAATGGGCCACCATGCTCAGCCTTAGTTTCCTATGTAAAAAATAAGGAAGTTTTCTAATTCACAGGGTTGTTAAAATATTAAATTATGTAACATACATAAAATTTAAAGCACAATGGCTTGAGTATATATAGTATAGTGTTAAAATGTAGTTGCTTTTATTCCTGTAATCCTTCACCTGACCCTTAACACCTCACCCACAGCAGTATCGTTAACCACCAAACTGTGGCACAAAAACTTCCCAGGGTCTGAAGATACAGCACAGTGATAGAAAGCACATTTAGTATATGAGAAGTCCTGGGGGTTCAATCCCCAATACCACACACATAATAAAAGTCTTTAAAGAGTCCTCTATTCAGATGCCATCAGTGGTCTTGTAAATTAAATTAAAGGCAAAAGTAGAGTATTATCTAATGGACAGCCATATACTGCCCATTAGTTGATGGATATGTTTTAGATAGTCATAAGGTGACGTTTCAATTCACAACTCACTCACTCTCTCTCTCTGAAAACTTCTACTTTCTAAGGAACTAATACAGCATACAAAATTATGAACACATGAATTATGAGCACTACAAAAAATGTTCCAAGGACTAGTTAAATAAATTATGTGCCATATATAAAACTTGATGCTATGCCACCATCAATAATTATAGTTAGCCAGGTATGGTGGTGTATTCCTATAATCCCAGAGTCTCAAGAGGCTGAAGCAAGAAGATCACAAGTTTGAGGTAACTGAGTGAGACGCCGCTCTCTCAAAATAAAAAAACAATAGGGATGTTGCTCATTGGGAAAGCACCCCTGGGCTCAATTCCCAGTACCAAATAGAAAAAAAATATATTGTTACATTCAATTATGGGAAAGATGTTGAAAAAAATAGCATGGTATACAGTTTTCATGGTATAATTCTATTTAAATAAAATTCTATATCCAGGTTTATACATAGGCATGTGTTTATTAAAATGTCTAAGGAATAAATTATCTGTGGGTGAGAGGATTATGGGAAAAATGAACATTTAAACAAGTCATCTTTTTGAACAGTTATTTATTTACTAACACACAGAGAGTCAAATATAGGTTCAAGAAAAGCAAAATGGGGGCTGGGGATGTGGCTCAAGGGGTAGTGCACTCGCCTGGCATGCATGTGGCCTGGGTTCAATCCTCAGGGCCGCATACAACAAAGATGTTGTGTCCACCGAAAACTAAAAAATAAATATTAAAATTCCCTCTCTCTCTCTCTCTTAAAAAAATTTAAAAAAAAAAAAGAAAAATGATTTAACCATTCTCACCAAGTTATACAAAGCTCTTGGGCAACCGGTTCAAACTTGAAGCTTACATTCTGGTGACTTGAAGGATGTTAGTTTTTATCCTTCACATAACTTAAAGAGCAAAACAACTGCCACCTAAAACCTATTAGACTTAAATTGGTTGTATGTTACATGTATAGGGTGCTCTCGAATAAGAAATGTTATGTATTGCTTTATCTATATTTTGAGAAATATTAAAATAATATATTTATGTGAAAAAAACAAAGCCAATAAAATACTACATTTTGCTTAGCATACTATGCTTTTACAAGATAAAACTACTAGAAACAATGTTGTGTCATTAATTTCAACTTTATAGCAGTGCATATAGATAATCAAAAGCTATTTGGTCAAGAAACATAAAGCACCACATATATTCAGAAGTCATGCCATACGTATCAAACTCCAAACAACCCATTTTTAAAACATAAAAATTTCCTTCCCTTTCTTCCCCACTTCATACATCATGTATATACATTTTCTCTCTCAGAAAACCAAAAAAAAAAAAAAAAAAAAAAGTCACATAGTTGGTACATACTTTTCCTTTGCCTTGCTTTTGGTTTTTTCCTTCAATGTCCTCAAAATCTGTGTCAGAAGAAAAATGTGTTTCTGACTCCCTATAACAAAAAGATAAGTAAATATTGAAAACACTCCTTAGAAATGTAGATGAAGGTTCTAATTTTTTGCAACACTTTCTAAAAGGTTTGATTAAGTTAACTCATTACAAAACTCAATATTAACATTAAAAGTAATTAAGATGCTTTCCCAAAACATCATACCATAGCACATTACCAAACATATGAGATTATATAACCAACAACAAAAACAGTAATCTAAAATACAAGTCTTTAAACACTTTCATGTTTTGTTAATTCTTAATCAAAGCATAAAAACTAAATGAGTAGTTCTCAAAATTGTGTGGTATTCTATAGCAATGACTGTAGTAATGGCTGTGCTATTCTGTAGTAACCATTTTCTGGTTCAAAGACCATAGTGCTTAGGGAAAACTATTTTAACATTCAGTATTAGATTAACTTTATTAGGGAATTTCAGCAATATTTTGAATCCTCTGATCTCTCCTACCTCACTCAAAAAACATTTATAAATTGAAGGATGAATCACTATACAAAACATGTATTTCTGAAAGGGTCATTTATGTATAAAACATTTTGATAGCCAGGTATGGCGGTGCACACCTGTAATCCCAGCAGCTTGGGAGGCTGAGGCAGGAGGATCACAGGTTTGAAGTCAGCCTCAACAACTTAGCAAGGCTATACATAACCTAGTGAGACCTGTCTCAAAAAATAAAAAGGGCTGAGGATGTGGCTCAGTGTTTAAGTACCTTTGGGTTCAATCCCTGGTACAAAAAAAAAAAAAAAAAAAAAAAAAAAAAAAAAAAAACTTTTATAAACTAAACCATATGAAATGTAGTAGAGAAGTGAACTATGTGTTCCATATCCTTTGTAAAGAAAAGAGATAATGAGTTAGTCAGGAGAACAAATTCTGGCATTAAGTAACTTTGTGATCTTGTACAGGGACAAAATCTTAATCTTATAACAACATATATGCATGAAAAAACAAATCTCTAAAGTCACTTCAATCTCTAACATATAAGCCTACACCTCTAAAATACTGGCCCTTATTTTGTATAATCTTAATCTCCTAATATATGTAACAAAGCAGAACAATTTAAATAAACATGTGTGATTCTTTCTACATGTAAACATGAGTTTACCTCAATAGTAACATACCGTCTTTTAAATGCTTAAAGAAAGGCATACTTACCTTGGTATTTGGGTAACACTGGATTTCAGAACTGAGCCACACCCATAGAAGTTAAAGGTTTTACCCCTTTAAATGTATGAACTTTATGCCAACCTAGAGCCAGTTTTGCTTTAAACAAATGGAATCAAAGGGAAAGGCTACTTTTTTTCAATCTAGATTTCTTCAATTTCCATTTTTATTGTTGTCTAGAGGCCATGAGGAAGGACAGTTTATCGATCTAAAGTAATAGTGAAGATGCTAACAGGAAAAAATTACTATTTATAGAACTTACAAAGTAATTTAAACAACGTATTGGAGATAGTGGAATCCTAACTATGTCCTATCATGATGAGAAAGTCCTGTAAAATAAATTCCATTTCTCAGAGTTAATGCACCAAAAACTAAATGACTACTATAATACTTAACCTTGAAATTAATGCCTGTTCGATCTTAAAAAGATTGTTGTCATCAATATTCTTCTCACATTCCTATTTGGCCAGGCCAAAAAAAAAATTTAAAATGTCTTTAAACATCCTAAAGTATAAATAATATTCTTTCTTCCCAAGATACTTGTGACATACCAGTTCTTAGCTCAGGAACTCCTATAGCCTATAAGCAATCACAAGTCTTCACACTATTTCAACAGTCAAAGACTAATCAAAAGCTCAATTTTACTCTTAATCCTCCAGGCTATCCCAACTAAAAGAATGAGCTATGGAGATCTGGCTACTAACTGAAAAATCTTCTGAAGAAAGTTAAAGTAAGTTAATCTGGAGTCTAAAATAACCCTCAATCAGAAAAAAAAAAACACTCTCCTAAGCCTTTTCTTTCTCCAATGCTTTCCTGTGTTTTAAGATCAAAAGAACAACTATAATAATAAGCTACCCTAGGTGAAATAACATGTTTATATGCTGACAGAGAATGAATTAACTCTTTAGGGGTTTGAAACATTACATAATCAAATCATATATTCCACTTTACTGTGCCCTCTATCCCACACACCCAACTAAATGCTAGGTTTTTTATAGCCCGCAACACCAATTCTCTTTTATCCATTATCCTATTTCAGGTCCTATTACTCAAAATATTCTAATAGTCAATAGAATAGCCTATAATATAAACCTTTTAAATAGTTTGTAATCTGCACATATTTAAGAAATTTCATAATCTTCTCTTATGTCTTTAAAAATCAGAGCTCAAAAAGGCAGATGAATCTAACTTAACTCCTCATATCATTTTGCATAATGTCCTCTATACATGTCACTTAATACTTTGTCAAAGGTAAGAGTTAAATTTACAGAGAAATTCAAGATCTGGAATATATGGAATTCTCCTAAAGATACTATTTTTGAAAGCCTGAATGTCTTTGATAGATGAATTTGAGACTAGCCAATCCCTGAATCAAACAAAAAGAAAAATAAGGGCGGGGGTTGTCACTCAGCATGCATGAGGCACTGGGTTCAATCCACAGCACCACATAAAAAAACTAAATAAACAAAATAAAAGTATTGTGTCCATCTACAACTAAAAATGTTAAAAAAGAAAAAAAATTCAAGAATAAATATACAAACTAGAATAAATATACATTGGGATTAAAATCATACTTTGGAGCTGGAGCTATAGCTTAGTGGTAGCACATTCGCCTAGCAAGCAAAAGACCCTGGACTTGATCTGCAGCACTGCCCCACCCCCAAAAAGTCATACTTTGCAATATTAGCAATATACTAATAGGCTCAATCTCCACAAAAAATAATTATTAATACTATGAAAAACTTTTATACAACCAAAAGCAGATCCTAGCTGTCATTGTGCATAAAATGGTATCTATCTGTTGTGGTTGAAGTTTTTTGCAACCAAACACTTTTCAAATAAAGTCTTATAAGAACCTAACAGGAAATTGTTTGTGTGTAAAACAAAGTTAGGGCCAAGTACAGTGGTGCATGCCTCTAATCCCAGCTACTTGGAAGGCTGGCCAGCCTAGGAAACTTAACAAAACCCTGTATGTACCAATATGCATGGAACTTTTTTTTATAAAAATTATAGATATCATGTCCTACCTTCACAAGGCTTGTTTTAGCCCGTCATCATTTGATATGACAGAAATCTTAAATTACATCCTAAATAACAATGTTTATTTATACATCCCCCACTAGTGAGAAACCTTAACTTATTAAAAATCTTATGATGGTACTCAAAACAACTGCTATTGAGAAACCAACTATGGCTTCAGAATGGCACAGCAAAAAAATAATAAAATTCTGCATTATGTAAATTAAAAACAGTGCCAGAAAATGTATGATATTAACTACTATAGAGCCTAATGACCACTGATATAAAACTGATTCAAAACATACATTGTAATCTTATATATTAAATCTTCTTATGCAGAAATAAACTGAACCAAAATTAATATTTCTCATTTTGTGGGAAAAACAAAATTATCAAAATATAATTTACTTACTGTAGTAGATTAAAATCAGTTGGTATTTCTGGAGCTGCTATCATTTCTTTATCATCTTCTGGAACACCCCAATGTCAGAAACATATTCATATATTTAATGTGAGTAAAATGATAGTTTGCTTCTTTCTTCTAAGAAATACAACTCCTTTAAAGAAAATAAAATGACACATTTATTATAAACACATCAAAAATATTGGGAAGGGATATTCATACTCAAAATGTAAATTTCCCATGTCTGACAATATGTTTTTATAAATAAAGATTGTGTTCCCTTGCATTTGATTACTTTTCCTAGATAGGAATTTGTTAGAACTCTTGCACAGCTTCACAGTAATAACATAACATGAGGAGAAAAAACAAAGTTTGCATTACAGATAATTATGTTTAAAGTGTGTTATGATTCTCTAGCCTGGTTTTATGTATATATGTGTTTATGTCTACACACACATACTTACAGATGTTATGTACATACATACATATGCACACACCCTAAAAAACAGGATGTGACTCTTTTTATTAGTCCTGAAATCCCTATGACAAGTTAAAACCACAATGAGATGCCTGAAAATGTATGGCTTTTTGCTGATTGTATACAGATCCAGTAAAACAGAGCTGAAAAAAATCCTACAATATAATTTAAAAACACTTTAAGAACAGGTTTTTCTACCCTTGAGGACACAAAGTACAAAGCCTGGCTTATTAAAAACCACTTCATGATAATGCCACACTGTGTTGAGAAAGAAGAAGTGGGAAAAGTTAGATCTGTCTGATCTAGTACCCCTCAAGCAATTTACAATCAATTTAAACACAATAATATATGTTGCCCAGCATGTGCAAGCCCCTGAGTTTGATACCCAGCAAAAAGAAAAAAGTCTCAAGGACAGATAAAGAGTACTTGTGACCAAAATAAGTACAAACTGGGCCAGGCCCAGTGGTACATGCCTGCAATCCCAAGTAGCTAGGGAGGTTGAGACAGGAAGACAGAGGTTTCAAAGCCAGCCTCAACAACAGCTAGGTGCTAAGCAACTCAGTGAGACCCTATCTCTAAATAAAATACAAAATAGGCTTGGGGATGGAGCTCAGTGGTTGAGTGTCCATGAGTTCAATCCCCAGTACCCAAACAAATAAATAAGTGCGAGTTGGTGGGTAGGAAAGGTATTACGTCTACCTTTGAAGGTCAAAGTTATATTTCCCAAATGATGGGGCAACCTAAAAGCAAATGACCAGTCTATAACAAAAAGGAGAAAGTAGGCTGAAGCTAATAAAGTCTGAGGTTCTTAGTTTTATGTATATTTTTTCATAATTTTCTGTTTAATGTTTTTTCTTTTATTCCCAAGAGAATCTGGTAGTTGGTGGCCACCTTAAAAAAAAAAAAAAAAAGGCAGGAACGGCTAAACATATCCAGTTAATATCTAAATACTACACACTGATGAAATTCTAATGATCTCTTCCAACAGAGTAAACAGTATAAGAAAAAGATGGTTCAATCTTTCATTAATTTGAAATATCTAAAAAATATCTCAAATGGCTACTAGTTTTTTCATTAATATACAGGTGTTCAAAACACTGCAATTTCCTAGTTTATTCTAATTAAGCTAAACCAGCAAAAATATTAAGTTTTGCTTACAAAACTTCTTTGTGAAATAGCAAAATAACAAATTAAGTAATAGGAGAAAACAAGAAGGATGAATAGCCCACAAATTAAGCCCTGAATAATCAAGAATTATATATACTACCACTGTATCTTTTTCCTGAACGGTACTCAGATTGCAAAATCTTTAGATATAACCATTAGTATGGTCTTCCCCTTGCCATAAATCATTATCCCAGGATTGTTCTCCTCCAATGTCACTAAACATTAATCTGCTTTATTCTTATTGTAGCCTAAGGACTACACCAGAGTTCTGAGGCTTGTCATCACCCATAGAACACACATCTTTGTCTCCTAATTTTCTAATTTTACAAAGAAAACTAGTGTGCTTTTTGAAGGAAACTGGAAAGGCATAGACCTAATAATTCTAAACAGATCCAGTTGTCCAGATGGCAAAATGGAAATAACAAGTGGTCATGTGATCCTTGCTATGTCTCTTTGCCTCTCTGAGCATTTCATAAAAAACAAATTTACTGGGACAGGGGATGTAACTCAGTGGTAGTGTGTGTGTTCAGCTAGGGTTCTATCCCCAAGACTAACACTTCACTAGTCCCCTTCAACATAGTTTTTAAGCAGACTTTAAAGACATTTCATGAATATAGTGTCCTAAGAAATCACACCTGAGGAATATAAAGAATGCATTAGCTCTGAAAAACACTGTGTCTCACACACACACACACACACACACACACACACACACACACACTGCATTCCCCTAAATAGCAACAAAATTAATTTCTAGTGTAAAAAAAAAGTACAAAGTTTTGCCAGGTTGAGCAACCATAATCCAAAAATTAAAAATCTTCTGAAATCCAAAACTTCTTGACTGCTCAAAAGTTCCAGATTTTGGAATATTTCTGATTTCAGAGTAGGGACACTCAACCAGTAAGGTCTTTTCAAATATTCTAAAAACAAAATACTCCAAAATCTGAAATTCTGAACTATTAGGGTAAAGCATACTAAACTTGTACAAATGAGTAGTCGGTAACAGAAAACAAAGCAAAACCTAGAACGGGAGTCTCTTAAGACAAGGTGCCTATATTTTTTAAATATTTTTTTTAGTTGTAGATGGACACAATAAACTAATTAATTAATTAATTAGTGATTTTTTAATAGCTTTTTTTAGTTGTAGTTGGGCACAATACATTTGTTTTATTTTTATGTGGTGCTAAGGATCAAACCCAGTGCCTCAGATGTGCTAGGCAAGCATTCTACCACTGAGCTGCAACCCCAGCCCAGGTGCCTACTTTTTTTTAAACATTATTGCCTCAGAGTCTGATAGACTTAGGGAAAAATTATTTAACTGGCCAATTTCCTATCCCAGTGAATACTTGTTTTTAAAAGTCTCTAAATATTGGGGCCGGGAATGTAGCTCAGTGGTACAGCCCTTGCCTAGCATGCACTAGACCCTGGGTTTCATACCCATTACCACAAAACAAACAAAAAAGTTTCTAAATATTAAAAGTGCATCCAATTAATAGTATCTACTATGTGCCAAGTGCAGTGCTGGCCACTGGGAACACAGTAGTGAACAGGAGAGCAATGATCCTTGCCATGATATAACTACCTTGACTAGAAACATGAAAACATTTCTACTAAGAATCATCTCCTCTATGACCACCTAATGTTATAAATAAAGAAGTCTAAATTCCATGCATATCAATGTTTTTATTATTTTAATCATTTCCAAATAACTTCTTTGCCACCAAAATAGTTTACCACAACAAAAGTGATAAATATATATTATAAATATATTTGTAATTTAAAAGGGGGCACAATGAATAAACTGGGAATTTCTTAAAGAATGTAAACTTTAAATCTACAGAAAAATGAGAATGTTTTGTTGTTATTGTAAATATCTACATCTGCATATAAAATTATTTTCCCAAAAACATATATTATAAAATTCATAAAAGATGTCTTTAAATGTGCTTAATACCATTTGACCTAAGATGGGAAACCCAATACTATAAGAAGTAATGCTCAAATAAAAGTGTAAGTTTAAAACCAAACTTAACCAAGTCATTTCTGGGCAACTGCAGATTATTATTTTTTAAAAAAAAAAATATGCTCTAAGATCACAAGGTGGAGCTCTCACCTAGTATCAAAGAAAAACTTTGAAGTCTTTATCACATGTAGCATTTCTCTAGAACTACCATAAAAGAGTTGCTATTCCAACAGCTTCAGAGGATAAAGTATAGAGATGAAATCTGCATCAAGTCTCTACCACTGTTTTCCTATTTTGGGCAGCCAGGGCCTTATCTAGTAACTAGCTTGTGTCTCCTTACTGAAAACTAAGCTACTTGCATTATAAATAATGGAAACAGCATATATAAACATAAAACTATTTCCTTAGGTTCAAGCGTATACCGGCAGCTTGCCCTCTTGTCCAGTTTAGCTTTCTTCAGTTTCACTTTCCCTCAACCAACCACTGTCCAAAAGTATTAAGTGGGAAATTGAAGAAATAAACAATTCTTAAGTTTTACACTACTCGACTTTCTGAATAGCAGGATGTTTTTTTTTTCTTTTTTTTTTTCCTTTTTTGGTACTAGAGATTGAACTCTAGGGCACTCACTCATTGAGCCACATCCCCAGCCCTATTTTGTATTTTATTTACAGACAGGGTCCAACTGAGCTGCTTAGTACCTTGCTTGTGCTGAGGCTGGCTTTGGACTCTCAATCCTCCTGCCTCAGCCTTGCAAGTCGCTGGGATTTCAGGCATGCGCCACCAGCCCAGCAATAGGACAATATTTTGCCCTGTCCAACCCATCCCACCTGGAATGTGAATGATACCTTTTTGTCCAGAATATCCATGAGACATATACCCTACATAGTCCCTTAGAAGCTGTTATCAGTCATCAAATTTACTATCTCAGTGTCACAGTGCTTGTGTGCTTATGGTCAACTAACCCTTGTCTTACTTATTGGCTCCAACATGCAAACTTTTATACAATATGTTGTTACAGCCATCCTATTTTACTATTGTTGTCTTTAATCTCTTTGCCTGATTTATAAACTCAACTTTATCATATATATGTAAATATAAGGGAAAAACTGTACAGTGCATATATAGGTTCGCTTTTATCCACGGTCAGAGTTATCCACCCAGAGTCTTAGTACATATACCCATGGATAAGGGGGAACTATTGTATCATGCTGTTATTAATTTAAATATATTTATGGACAACTACTGGATTAAAAAGTAATAGATGATCATGTATTTTGAATTATAAACATTAAATTCAGGTAAATAACCTCAGTAACTGCTTTTTATATAGACGTCTAAAAGCTGAAACTTAATTGCCACAACTTTTCAAATTATCTATAGTTAGTGTGCATTTTATGGCCTGTTACTCAAAGTTCAGATTCCAAGTTAAATTCAAAAACAAAAAACCTTTCTTCCACTTCTAAAAACGTAGAAGACATGTTATTACAGCCTATAAATAAAAATATTATCCTTATTACATCTTTAATTCTTTACAACTCACTTGCTA